TCTCCAAACAATAATTTCTTGGCCTCGACAAAATCTTTTGTCTATTTTCAAAACAATCACCAATTGTTTACATTTCCAATACGATCCAAATATTGTCTGCGACGATCGGTTGTTTTTATCAAACCAAAAACAATTTCAAATCGGCTAAAGGAATTTATCCACCTTTAACAAATAACTATGAAATCTTACTTCCAAAACAACCGATTTAAAATCCCATTGTTTTATGTTTTGGCTTTTAAATAACTTTCTGTACAGTCAAGAAAATCATGCTTCATAATTATTTTCCCGACTTCATATCGCAAATTAATTTCTACATTGCAGCCCTTCTAATGCTCTAATTCTATCCAGGTTTCTCACATGAACCCTTTTCTTAATCCTATATCACATTCCTTTTATAGTGTCACATTAAGGTGGGTTTCAAAAAATAACTTTTTCAGTAGCACTTGTTAGTTACCTGACCAAAACGACATGGCATGTTTGGGCATATCTCTTTTGACGCACTGTTCATGAGCGGGAGAGAATCATGGCCAGATTATGGTAGGGTGTTTTGCTTTAAGATGGAGGATGAGGTAACCAAAGGGACATGGAAACCATATCTAGATACTTAGGAACACTCTCAACTGGAGAACATCCGATCGGACTGGGTATACCCTTATCAGAATGGTTGCCATAGTATTTATATTGGGTTTCGTATATTTCAACTTTGTAGGCGTGTTGCTCTTTAATAATAATAATAATAATAATAAAAATAATAATAATATTTCGACCTTTCGACCCTTAAAACGCATGAGGATGGTTTCTTTTTCTTTTTATGTCCCATGTCATTTCAAGGCTTAGGCGATCATGTCTCTCCACCTCTCTCTATCCGTTGCCGCTTTCAACAAGTTCCTTCCCTCTGCTTCTTCCCCCAGACCACGTTCTGTCGTCCACTTGCTTAAGACCGCCAGGTATGTCACGCATTGTTTTTCCTTGTCTCTCTTTCCCTCTATTCAACCCGTGAGTATTAGATTCTCCAGATCCTCCTTCCTCCTTATATGTCCCAGAAACTTCAGCTACCTCTTCCTGATGTTAAGTATAAGCCTCCACCTTCTTTTCAACCTCTCTAAGATCTCATTGTTGCTCACATGCTCGGTCCATGATATCCTTAGCATTCTTATGTAGAACCACTTCTCTGTCACCTGGAGTCTCTCTCTCATCTTTGAGGACATTGTCCAACATTCGCTGCTGCAAAGAAGGAGAGATGTCACGTAACAGCTCAGTATTCTTTTCTTTGTTACCAAAGAGATCTTCCTGTCTCGCAATACTCTGCCCAGTTTTTGGAATGCGTCCTTGGCCATCCCAATACGTCTACGGATCTCAGTGTCGCACTTACTGTCTTCTGTTAAGACGCTTCCAAGATATTTAAACTTCCGCGACTGCTTGATTCTAGTGTTCCCGACCTGCAAATCACATTTCAGGCTCATCCTTTTACTGATGACCATGCATTCTGTCTTCTTGTAGTTTATGCTTAGTCCCTTTTTCTCACTCTCCGTCGCTACCTTCTGAAGGGGATTTTGAAATTTCTTTTCCGTGTCTGCTATCAGTACTGTGTCATCTGCATATCTTATGTTGTTAAGATTGTGGCCGCCAATGATAAATCCCGGTAGGGTTTCCAATTCTTTATGTTTATGTAAATTACTAACTTCTCAGCAAGGGGAATGAAAAGAATGATAGGCGAGTTCCATAAGATAAAATAACTTTTTAAGTAGCACTTGGATCATAAGGAGGAGCCTGTGCCTGTCTTCTCCTTATGATCCAAATCGAGATTCCCAACCTCCCCAGTTTGCTTTGGCCTGCCCTTTTCATCTGGACTTTTTCTCGGTTTTTGAATTTTATAATGCTTAGAATTTTTTATCCTTCAGAGAGAGAGAGAGAGAGAGAGAGAGAGAGAGACAGACAGACAGACAGACAGACAGACAGAGACTCTTGATTTTGTCGGAAGAGATAATACAGCGGCAAATCTTATTTTTGAAGGGTGGACGAGTCTTACTAACACCATTCAAACTTCCTTTCAATTGGTTGGAACATAAGCCACCACAAGATGTACAGAATGAAGAGGCTACCATCCTCCCGGAATTTCAGTGTTTAGACTGACAGGGAAAACAACATTATCTGTTGTTATTGGCGCTTTGGGTATGATATCAAAAGTTTCTTTTTTGAGTCATCACCTCTCCTCATCATTTGATAACATTGATATAATTTACATAAATATTTTTGCATACACAATTGTACATATTGAAATTTTTAGGCCATGAGGTGTTTTTATTTTCTTTTTTTTATATGGTCCCTGTGTGTGTGAGGTATTTTGGTGTTTGTAGGAGCGAATGGTGACCGATAGATTCTTATGGTAAATTGTAAGGAATGAATGGATCGTGAATCTGATTAGCTAGGTATAGGATACTTAGTGTCGACCAGTCTTGACCCATCTTTCCACTTTTATCGACTACAATTACTGTATTCAGTCAGTAATAAATCGAGACGAACAACGTTTGTACAAAGACTTATCATTTTTTGTAGATTTATATATTTTTATACTTGAAAATTTAAAAAAAAGGCTTGAAGAAGGCAGATATTCTGTTGAAATACTGTTTAACATTATCAAAAACCGTGTTTTTGTTTTATTATATAGCGCTCTTCTCTTTACTATAGTAATAATAATAATTGATGAATATGTTGCGCATTCAACCTCCCTCTCAATTGGTTGGAACATAAGCTACCACAAGATGTTCAGAAAGAAGATGCCTCCATCAAATCTGGAATTTCAGCATTCACACTCATAGGGAAAACAATATTACCTGTTGTTATTGGCGCTTTAGGCATGATATAAAAAAACAAACAAATATGTGGATCAAATTCCTGGCGGCAATAAAATATGTGAATTGCAAAAACAACCATCTCATGCATACCTCTCATATTTTGCGTAGATTTTACCCCACGTGGTGATCACGATACATTTTACAGTTTGAGTGGCATCTCATCTGTCTGATGCAAAAATTCTCGTTGTTTCTCGAAGTCTCTGGTTGAGACATGAGGCCAATTCGTACAACACAAAGCAAAGGCAAACACAATAATAATAATAATAATAATAATAATAATAATAATAATAATAATAATAAAACCTCGGGATATGAATCTGTAAAATGTGGTACATCAAGACAGCAAGAGTATATGTTTATTCGAGTCTTTGGGGAATTATATAAAAATGGAGCAAACGAATACATGGATCAAATTAATGGTATTCCTAAAATAGTGATTTAGTAAGTAGAGCTTCAATATGACACAAAACACCGACATTCAGGAATAATAATAATAATAATAATAATAATAATAATAATAATAATAATAGCATCTGTTACAATTCTATGGGACTACACAATACACACTGACAGAACAATCAAGGCCAACCGGCCAGATATTGTTATTAAAGACCACAAACAAAAACGATGTCTCCTTATTGATATGGCAGTCCCTGCTGACTGCAATGTATCTTTGAAGATATTCAAAAAGTTGTCAAAGTACAAGGACCTTGAAATAGAAATCTCGAAAATGTGGCATATGGGAACATCAACAATCCCTGTTGTAGTTGGAGCCTTAGGACTGGTTGGAAAAGATTGCAGTAGACTAATTGAAGGGATTCCTGGAAGTCCATGTCTCAAGGAGATACAAAAAATTGTTCTGACAAGTACAGCCCACACCTTACGAAGGGCTTTATCTATGTAATTTAATTTTTTTTTTTTTTCAGTAGAAAGTGTCATGACGCCATTTCTAACCCTAGGTCCCTGGGCGTGACCCGGAAAGAAATATGTAAACGCCAGAAATCAAAGAAAATAATAATAATAATAATAATAATAATAATAATAATAATAATAATAATGATTGCTGGATATATTACGCATTCAAACTTCCTCTCAATTGGTTGGAACATAAGCCACCACAAGATGTACAGAATGAAGAGGCTACCATCCTCCCGGAATTTCAGTGTTTAGACTGACAGGGAAAACAACATCAACTGTTGTTATTGGCGCTTTGGATATGATATCAAAATAAACAAGAAATTATGTGGATTAAATTCCTGGTGACGATAAAATATGTGAATTGCCAAAAAATCATACTTATTGGCACTTCTCACATCTTAGGTAGATTCCTTTCGATGCAGTGACTACAATTATATATTTTTATCTCTGACTGCATGGCACCTCACCTGTTTTGCAGGTTCGGATAGAAAAAAAAGTGAGTGTCTCCTGAAGTCTCTAGTTGAGACTTGGTACTACACAAAGCAAAGGGTAAACAACAACAACAACAACAAAAAACCAACAGAAAACAACAACAACAATAATAATAATGATAATAATAATAATAATGCTGAGGTAGTGATAATGAAAATCTGAAAAGAGAGTATAGCATAGATGGTTCCAGAAATATTTATGATAAATACCATTTCAAAAATTATATCTCCATGGCACACACACACACGAACCATCAATAGCAAAGAAGCAAACTTGAAAACTAAATAAATTAGAAAATGAAAATAAACCCCTAAAAAAAAACGAACAAAATAGAACGACATAAAAAACAAAAACAAAAACAAAACAAAAACAAAAAAGAACAATCACAGTCTGCCTTCACCAATAAACAAATCAACCAAGTTCGAAAATCTCCGTGTGGACTCTGCAGCCGGTGCAGAGTTAATGAAAAATCAAGTTTTATCAGAATTTTCACCGCTATCAGAAACTGGCAGGAAAAGATTAAAAATCCGACCCCCAATATGAAGAAAGAATGCATTTCATTAATTTACAATGAGCAGAGAAGACGCCGAGGAATGACTTGAAATTGAAAGGGCTTATTTCTACTTAAAAAAAAAACGTAAAAGAAAAAGTAATAGAAAAAAACTGCACTTTCAATATCAAGAAAAATGAGAATGGTAATGAAGACCAGAGATAAAGGTTATAAGATCTTAAGCAATGCTTTCGGGTCACAAGTAAAATACGTACCTTCGTATTGAAGCGTTTGTGAGACTTTTCTGTTTTCTAATCAAAAAAAAAAAAACTCTTTCACGGTTAGTATTCATGTATTTATGAATCAGCTTATAATGATAGGTATATAAGCTAGATTATACACTAGTTAGTGATAAAATAGTCTAGGCATGGACCATTTCCTAAAATCTCATCAGATTACCAAACACCAGAAATTATCTGAAATCTCTTCTTTGTCGGGCTGAGAACCTTTCAACACCCACTTGACTTAAGGTACATTAATACGGCTGCAAAGTAATGAAGAAAAATAAAATTAAAAAAAAAAACATTTATTTTAAACAAATATTTATTCTACAACATAATATTCTTCCTTGTTCAATTACATTATATCCGTGAGAAATATTTATCATATACATGGAACATTATACAGTGGAAAGTTTAGATCAAATATAAAACTGAGAACTACGTGTTTGAAGGCGGACTAAGTGATGCACATTTTTGTTGGGGGCACTGAAAAAGTTTTTCGGCTCAATCCACTTCACCAAATTTTATCTAAAAGTTAAATATCAGAAAGTGTTTTGAAGGGAATAAGGAAACTTGGAAAACGACGAGCAAAATGTGGGAATTGTAAGGTCATTCGAATTGATTGGGTTAAGAACTTTACAGCACTCTTTTAATTATATATATATATATATATATATATATATATATATATATATATATATATATATTTGGTTGATATATGTGAGTTTGTGACCCTGGGTTTCACGCTTTAGCGATCGTCAGACAAACCGCGCATATAATATATAAATAATTATACATATATATATTTATTTATATTTATATACACTTTTCACACACACACACACACACACACACACACACACACACATATATATTATAATTAATATTATAATTATATATATATATATTATAATTATTATTATATTTTAAAAATATGATTCCATCGCAACATAAGAATTCTAATGTTTCAAAAACAGAAGCTAAAAACTTCAGTTTAATTATAGAAATTAAATTGAATTAAGGTATCCAGTTCTGTTTCATCCTCAAGCGAATTTTAGAATTATAATTATAATTTAGGCTCTACTTGTGAATTGAGCACTGTTTGTTAAAAATAAAAACAAAAATACTAAAGAACTTCGGATTATTAACCTAACGCGCTTCTTTCCTATTTTTCTATATATTTGCACACACACACACACACACACACACACACACACACACACACACACACACACACACACACACATATATATCATAATAATATTATTAAAACAAAATTAAAATCAGCTACTGAGATTTATATTTTAAGCTTTTCTATATATATATATATATATATATATATATATATATATATATATATATATATAGAGAGAGAGAGAGAGAGAGAGAAAAGAGACAGAGAGTAAGAATAAAGGATAAAGCTTAAAATATATAATTTAATGCGGAAATAATCAATATAGTTTATATTTTAAGCTTTAGATTTTATTCTTAATATATATATATATATATATATATATATATATATATATAGTAAGAAAAGCAGCTAAAGATTAAAATATAAAATAAACTGATTATTCTTATATATATATATATATATATATATATATATATATATAGATAGATAGATAGATAGATAATATTAGTGGTAAAATATACACATACATACGCAATCATATATCTAAAATATATAAATATATATACATACATACATACATACATACATGCACATTCATATATATTTGTATAAAAAAAAATTCCAAGATGATAGAATCCAGGTAGAACTCAATGTCCAGGACAGAGTAAGGATATAATAAAAAATCTTAAACACTAATATTCCATGGTCATAATTTATTCCATTGGGATTGTAAATACGATCCAATTCATCAGATCTACAAATTCAAAAAGAAAATAGAAAAAACAACTCCGGGAATAAAAAATAAAATTAGTATGAGAGTGTGAGACGAATGTTAGAGTAAATGAAAGCTATAGGGAGGGGTAACAGACGAGAGGAGAACAGGAAGGTCTAAAGATGAAGAGGGGATTAAAATTTAACAGAGAGAAGTTTTATAGAGGGGAGTCAAAGACGGTTTAAGTGAGAGAAATATGAATATTCTCGGATGTCTAATACATTAAAGATATATATATATTTTTAATTTTTACAAAAATGTCTTTCTGGTAACTTTTTTTCCTATGAAAATGTATTGCTGGTATTTTTATTATACTTTTTTATACTTTCATCATGTTTTGACCCCAGTTTGGAGGTCAGCTATTTGCCCATAGCTGGGACCTTAACAGTCAGGGTGACCTGAGAACAACAGCAATTAAGAGGTGGTTCCACACTCCTCAAAACCTCTCGAGCAGAGGTCTTGCTGCCGGATTTAATTTATCCTCATACCGAGGACGGGAAATAGACCAGCTGTATTAGGGGGAACGCAACCTCCTCAAGGCGCTTGATGCAGGCCTCCGTGTTGAGTCTAAACCCCTTACCAACAAATTCGGGAGCTCTTTTCTTATCAGAACGATCAGAGTGAGTTTTCCGAGCCGCCATACCTTCGTAATCACAATTAGATTAATCCAAATCTTTTCGAATCTTCTGTACTGTCCTCAGATTGACACCCAAACACTTCGAAATGTACGTATTGGAGGTTCCGGTGCAATACCAAACAGTACAGCATGCCGTTTCCAAATTTCTGGCGGAGTGAAGTGCATCATGGTGCTCTTTTTTCTCACAGATGGTGCCCAACTGAATCTACTATGCTGTGCAGTTGACAAAATGAAAAAAAGAAAACAATGCGCACGCGCGAAATTAAAAATATAAATTGGCGACAATTTACTCATCGCACTCCGTAATGTATAACTAAAATATATAGAGACTTAACCAAAGGTTTAAAACCGCCTAGCAAAAATTAACATTTCTCTATTATTACAAGATATTGTATCGTCCACTTTTAGTTAATGTAAACAAACTTCAATTAAAAGCAATATTGTATTAATCTCAAATTTGAAACAATGTAACATTAACTTTTTTTTTTTTTTGAAAGCTGTGAAATTGTTCTAAAGAATAGTTTTCATGAAGATTTTTGTACATTAAAAGTAGGCAAGAACTCGTTATTTTCTGACATTTAAGAAGACAGGATAGTAACATTACACTTTAAGAGTTGCTTAGAGTGTGAGATTTCAGTTCAAACGGGTTGTTTATAATGCTATCTAGTTCTGGGTATGACGATAAACTACATCCAGCAGCAAGGCTTTTGATCGGATGATCGGATTTTGGTAAACGTGAAACCAACCATTAATTGCTATTATTCTCAGGTCAACACTAATCCTGGGTAGTAGCACCTGTTAGGGTCCCAGCTATGGGTAGATAGTGAACTCCCCCCCCCAAAAAAAAAGCAAAACACTATGAAAGTATGAAAATTGTTTTACTAAAAATATCAGTAATACATTTTTATATAAAAAAAATCCAACAATAACTAATTATAGTAGAATTACCAATAGTGTCTATTTATAACAGAATTACCAAGAATACATTTTATCTGTTGTTGAAGGCATACAGTTTCATTCAAAATATTTAGATGTCAGCATTAAATGACCCATAGAGGTGTTGATATGTCGCTAAACAAAATGTACCAATCAATTATAATGCTAGCGCCAAGTCCAATGCTGATGGCTCTTATTTTAACTCATAGAAAAATGGTCATTCCAATAAAAAAATAAAACAAAATGACAAAGCAAAAACACACCCTAGAGATAATCCTCTTCTCAGTCGCACAGATGTGTCAATGTATTTCAATTAAGATCCTGCAAACCTACGCGAAAACCAAGATCGGCCATGGAAATGAAAAGGAAGTTCTCAGCATTCACCAAAGATCATGGAAATTCAACAGAGAAAAAATAGGAAAAACATTATATTCTTTGATGAATTCATACTGCAGCAAGTGTTTGTATGTCAGAATGCCTGCAAGAAAGAGAGACGAAGAGAATATATCATACAAACTCAGAAACACCATCTCAGTCAGATGAGTTTTGGAACTGCTAGTTCATATTTTCTGGACCTTGGAATAACAATAGTCAAAAGTATCTGGAACTGTTGCAGGATAAACCAGTGAGTTACATAGTTTGGCAGGTTTGGTGATAAACAGAACCAACTCCTTGACTGTATATCTCTGAGATTCAGGTAGGGGCCCTACAGGGTCGAGTAATTAGAAATATGAAAAAGGAAGACTTTTAAATATGTAAAAAAAAACAGATGAAACATGAAATAAACACTTTATGATTGCGGACAAACTGTCAACCAATGCCAAGGCTCCTGTGGACGCTTATCAGAGACGACGGGGCCATTGGGATTTCAGCAACAACCTGAAAGCCAGCAGTACTCGTCTTGAGATAGTTACAAAAGCGAAAAGTATCCATACAAATAATAGTTTATAATAATACTTTATACTGAAATTAATAGAAAATAAATGGTTTTTAATAAATTTGAGGCATTGGAAAGAGTATTTCCTATTATTTTTATGCTATTGAGATGTTTTAAAAAATGTTGGGTTGTTTTAAAATTTTGTCCACGAGTGTACATTATATATCTGATATTTTTCATTTTATAATAATAGTTAGGTAAACTCTTTTTGCATCATAGATACAGCTAAAAGTGGTTATAACTATTGTTGTTGCTGCTTATTTTACGAAATTGGTGCTGCCGAGCGTAAGAAGTTCAGGATGGACTCGTTCTTGCATTAAAATGTAGCATGATACCAAAGAATTTTTTGTTCAGCCCCCAAATCATAAGTTATGCCATAAGTGAGTTAACTGTTGTGTTTTGAAAAGATTAAAATATAAACAAAGTCTATTATCGGTACAAATACATGAAGTCGTTAAATTCACTCTAGCGAACGATACCGAAATATGTCGATCTGAGCCGGATCATACCGAATTGAATCGGGTTTGGTCGAGGCAGCTGGCGACACCTTCCAGCATCCAAAGAAAGAATTAACGTAAATCTTACACGTTGACGCATTAATCAGTCGTGACAGAAGGACTGATGAAGTTAGCACAGGTTTGAGGCGAACAGAGATTCAATTAACACGTTGTGCCAGTTCGGGTAAAGTCGGTTTTTCAAGTTACTTCGCCTCGTCTCCAGTTCTCATTCTTTTTCCTTCTTCTTCTTTCCTCTCCCCACCCACCACATTAATCTCGAGGCAGGCAAATGCTTTAGGTTCTTCCTCCTGCCTCCCTTGGAATATTTCAACTGCCTTTTGCGTCACGTCATCTTCACTAGGCGAGGTGGTTCGTCAACCAGACGCCGTTGTGTGCAGCAACACACGACACAAAAAATTCAGGTCTTCATCATGAAGTCAGCACATAAGCTAAAACTCAACGCCGCTCAATTTGGTGATTAGAACCAGTTGTTGTCAGAGCGAGTGCTTCGTCACCAAGTGCTGTTGAGGAGCAATTATGGATGTCGGCTTCGTCGATGAAACAATTTAGACATTCTTGCAAGTTTCTCAACGCGCATATCTTCTCATTGATTCTGTTAGTTTTGCTCATTTATCGCTATTTTGGTTCGTAATGAAAAATCAACATTTTCGCAAAGGTTTGAGGAATTATTCCTGTTGCCAAACATACAGAGAAATACGTATTCAGGCACCAGATGTATCGAAGATTTTACAAGTAATGGCGAATCGCCATCAGATATTTATTTGCTTGACTGTTCATTCTGTATATGAATTCGAGGGTAATTTTTAATTATTCCTAAAATACTTATGACTAAATATATATGACTAAATGATATATATATATATATATATATATATGAGAAAGAACAGTATATATATATATATATATATGAGAAAAGAACAGTATATATATATATATATATATATATATATATATATATATATTCTATATATATATATATATATATATATATAATGATGAAGAATAGTTTATATATATATATATATATATATATATATAATGAGAAAGAACATATATATATATATATATATATATATATATATATATATATATATATATAAGATTTATAATCCGGTGTTCTTATTAATTATTTTTATTTTTGAAAAACAGTGCTCAATACAATTCAGTAGCGGCTAAACCTTTATAAATTTACTAATTTAAAAATATGGTTCCATCGCTACACAGGAGTTACCATGTTTAAAAAACAGAGACTAAACCTTAAATTTAATTTATAGAATTAAATTTAAAATCTGATTCATTTTCAAGCGATTTCTGGAATAGTTATTAATTCGTACTACTGCACAAAATGTGGCACAAGGCCAAAATGGGGGTTGGGGAAGGACGGTCTTCTTCTGTCTTAATTCTAAACTTAGCTAGTCACAGACACGGACCCAAACATACCAACAATAGTCCTATCACCAAAACAACACATTCACTCCTACCTTTATTACTGCATGCACCATAATACCTCAAATTCTCTATGAAATCCTAACTAGTCCCCATACGTACATTTCAAAGTCTGTGGTGGGAGGGGAAAAAACAACAATTTAAAAAAACACAATGATTATTTACAATATGAATTAATACTATTTACATAAAACAAAACAAAAAAGGGTCAGTAATACCCACCCCCCACAATCCCTAAATGTGGCAGAACCATCAGTTAACTGGACGAAATAATTGCGGGATCATAAAAAACCAAGCACGCCCACAAACACGTACTTATTTAAACACAATAACAAAATACGAAAACACACACACGAAACGAAAGAGAGAACTGACATCACTGACCACCTAACGAGGAAGGGTGATTTCTGGAATAACTTATTTTGAAATTTACTGGGTTTATAAGCACAAACAATCTTGATATTATTAGTTGTCAAGGTTACAGGAAATTTAAATCATTATTAATAAGGGGTGGTAGGGTATTCGTTTCTATCGACAACCTCTGTATCAAGTCTAAGCTACTTTCAAAATCAGGTTATGGTAGAGTAGGGTTGCTTGTTCAACAAAGGAAGACATACGTTTTTCGCATGTCGTCTGATTATTTTTTTAATGACATAGAGTTTTAAATTTAAGGTTTAGTTTCTGTTTTTGAAACATGGTAATTCCTGTGTGGCGATGGAACCACATATTTAAATTAGTAAATTTATAATATATATATATATATATATATATATATATATATATATATATATATATATATTATTCAACATGTTTAAGGAAATACAAAAAAAAGGAATTATGAATAACATATACTCAAGTATAGTGGAAGATTTTATGAAGAGTGTTTTATGCAAAAATAGCGGGTCGCACGATACACAAGTCAGGGTCAGAGGATTACAAAGCATAACTAAACTGATTTTGCTTTAGCACTAACTTGAAAATGTGTATGTGTGTATATGCATGTGTGTGTTTATGTGTGGATATGCGTGTTCATGTGTATGTGTGTGTTTACGTGTGCACGTGTATACATGTGAGTGTGTGTGTGTGTGTGTGTGTGTGTGTGTGTGTGTGAGAGAGAGAGAGAGACAAAAGTAGAGAGAAAGCAAGTCGTTGAAATTAATTTCTACCTGTCTTCCGCGCATTGCCATGTTTGGTGTGTGGCAAGATGTGACACAAGGACATTTCGATGTGGAGCTGCCTTTGTCCAAATCGAAAAATTAGATGTGGCACGGGGCCACAAGTATGGAGAACCAATGATGGATCGAACTCACCCATCTGCTTGATAACGGTTACATTATATCTAAGTTCCCAATACTGATTTACTCAGGGTAGCTTAGATGTGGCACAAAGCCGCAAATATGAGGCACCCAATGAGGATCGAACTAACTACTCAGTCATAATTGATCTCGCGAGCAAAGCTTGGTAACCATTACATAACGTCGAAGTGCATGTGTATATGCTCCTGAAAAAATTATTTCGGTTGAGCTCTCTGGGAAGAAAGTGTGTGTTTGTAAACAGTGACTATTACGGCTAATAATGAAAGATTTTTCGGTAATGAAAACTGATTTTGGGAATCTGTCTATATTTCTGAGATGAGGACACATGGCGCAGTGGATAAAGGCGTTGGTTGACAAGACCCAAAGAGTGTGAGTTCAAATCCCAGTTAAGGCAGTGGAGAACTTTCAGAGGGAAAATTAACAGGAGATAACTGATAGCTGACATCCATCAAACATGGCACGTGGAACTAGATCAATCTACCCAAGTGAGCGAAATAAAGGGTTCATTCCAACCACTTGAAGAAGGCCGGAGCATACAACGGCCGAAACGTTGTGATAAATATGGCGACAAAGATGAGGGCAATAGTCCGAATAATGTAAATAATGATTTTGGGAAGTTGTTCAAGCTGAAAACTTTTCGGCATCCCCTCGTACATTTGCATATCTCCAATATCAACATATTATGAATATTAATTTCAGCTTGACAATATCCATTTTAGTGTCTTGGTTTCTAAAAGCAACGATTAAGATTAAGAAAGTCAAGTGCCTTGGGCGTTCATGCCTCATCAATGACTGACTCGGTAGAAGATTTTCGCGCAATAGCTTACCATTTCTTTCTGTGGTAGTCTGGTTGGTTACCAAGGCTATATTGATTGGTTGATTTGTTTTTACGGCTTATCAACCTTTTGCAGATTATTTAAAGTCAGAAAATATTTTTAGATTCTAAGAATTTTTTTGAGATTATAATGATTGAGCGATACAAGTTTTATTAATTAACCCATAGCTGGAAGAGAAGATATGGATTCATACCCTTTCAATTGTAATTGAGCGTAAGTATATATAACGAATATAACTGAAATTGGAACTCGGCTCTCTGAGTTCTATTTCCCTCCATTATCCATTATATCACCGCAAATCCAAGCTTACATCACGTATATATAGACAGATACTGAAGGATCAGTACGGACCCGATACACCGAAAATATGGAGACAAATTGAAAAATCCTACCAGAAACTGGCACGAATATCGAACCATCTGACATTCCTACACCGATGCAGAGATCTACAACTCATCCCTTCAGGTTTCGCACCAAGACTTCACGTCAATTCAAGGAGAGTCCGTCTTGTCGCAGAAAAAGCGGGACACGTCCTTGCCCGAGAGAGAATCCAGTACAATCGTTGGATAAAACAGAGACTACAGGCTCATATCTCCCAGAGGCTTCAACAGAATTACAAATGAAGAAGACCAGAGAAGGATCTAAAATGACCTGGATGTATCCTTCAGACATGAATTCGATGTAGTCAAAGCTCGCCAAGTACAAAAATTAAATAGATTGAAAGATCAGAAGGTGACGCACAAGGTCCATCACCCACCAATGAAAGCAGTAGTCAACATCAGCTAATATCAGCTGAGTGCCTCTGAGGAGTCAGTATTGAATAAGGGTCTCAACTTTGCCACAACCATCAGGCGAGTGCGATACTTGGATATCATTGCCAGAGTCAAGGAGGTGGCCTTGAACATCCCTCAGGCTCAGGCGGATGAACTGAGATGGAAGGTGAGACAGACCTTGGAGAAGGCCAAGCCGCCCAGGTCTAACATAACAAAACTGGAGAGGCTGGTGATAGGATTCCTACAGAGGAACGAAAACATCATCATACTACCGGCTGACAAAGGTAATGCGACTGTAGTGATGGACAAACCTCATTAGCAATGGTAGCTACAGCAAAGTAAAAAAGGATCCTACAATGAAAACGGAACGCACACTGCCATAGGGCTTAGCAATGGGCTCGCCATTATCACCAGCAATGGCGAATATATACATGAAATACTTTGAGAAAATGGCATTAGAATCTATATCTCTAAAGCCAACTCTATGGTTAAGGTACGTAGATGACACCTGCATGTTCAGGTTCTACTGGACCATGTGAACTCAAGACCTTCGATACAGTTCACGATGGAGAAAGAGAGTAACAGCACACTCCCATCCCCGGATGTTCTAATATCTCGTATACCGTAAACAGACATTCACTGAACAGTAACTCAATTTCAACTTCCACCATCCATAAAGCGTAAAGAAAGGGATCGTCCGCTGCTTACAACACCGAGCAAAAGTCATAAGTGGCGACCCAGAGACATTAGATAAAGAATTGGTCAGTATAAGTAGTACCCTAAAACATAACAACTACCCAGGGTACATAGCAGCTGCCCCCAAAAGCTGGGATAGGCGGGTACAAGAGGAAGACAACAACACTCAGAAAACAGTCTGCCTGCCTTATGTGAAGGGGTTATCAGAGAAAATACAAAGGATCTGCGGTCCATACAACATCAGGACAATCTTCAAAAGCTTGACAACACTTCGCAGATATCTCTCCCGAGTAAGACCCCCCCCAAAGAGGAGAACATGACTAAAGACTGTGTGTACGCTATTCCATGCAGCTGCGGAAAGAAATATAAAGGTAAGGCTTCAAGAACACCAGAAAGCTGTAACACAAGGGGAAGTGGAAAAATAAGGCATGGCTGACCACATATGGAGAGAGAAGGGTGATCACCGCCCTCTGTTGGATTAGGTTGAGATCATAGACAAAGATTATCTTTGGAAAATTCGTAAACTTAAGAAATCAGCATATATGCTACGCCATAACAATCTCCTTAGGCGACCAAGCATAGAAATGAATACAATATGGGAACCAGTAATAAGGAGTGCCAGAGAAAAGCAATAATAACAAGAAAAATTGCTCTGGTAAAACATGCGTTGATAACAGCAAAAATTGCAATATGAGCACTGATAAAAAGGTTTGCTGAAGACATTAGGTTTATAATACGCAGAAATTCATATACAGATGTCCTCAAGGACACAGGGAATAGTGGATAAAAGCGTTAGTTAGTACATCAGGAAAAGAGTCTTTAAATCAATTCCCAACGATTAATATACAGCCGCGTTGCTTCAGCATATACCCATTTCTAACTAAATTAGTACCTAAACAATGTGGAACCCGTAAACTTAAATAAGATAAAAAACAACAAACAAAAACTCAGCTGGATTTAGTTGAAATCTAATTTTTAGAGCGACGTAGTCAAAGTAAAAATACAAGCCGCTTAACGTGAATCTCATTTTATCTCGCTTAACGTGAATCTCGTTTTGTCTCGCTTAACGTGAATCTCGTTTTGTCTCGCTTAACGTGAATCTCGTTTTGTCTCAATGAACGTGAATCTTGTTTTGTCTCGCTTTTATTCTCGTGTAATAAAATTCTTTTTCTAATGACATATGATCATCGATGAAACATGTCAAACTAATTATTATTTCAAACTGTCGTATCGAACTACATCCGGCAGCAAGGCATCTGATCAGGAGATTGGAAGTTTTCAAGGGCGTGGGTCACCTCTTAATTGCTGTTGTTCCTAGGTCTACCTTGACTCGGAGTGGTAGCATCTGTTAGGGTCACATCTATGGGCAAACAGTGAACCCCCAAACAAAAGCAAATCACTATGAAAATATAAAATACATTTTTATAGTAAAAATACCAGTAATACATATTTGTGTAGTAAAATTGCTAACAATATTTATTTATAGTAAAAATACCAGCAATGCTTATTTATATAATAAAATTATCAACAATACTTATTTATCATTAATTGAAAGCACTTATTGCGTTCAAAATATTTAGATTTCGGGACAGAGTTTGTACGCCACTAAACAAATTCAACCAACCAAATCCTATCTATCTATCTATTTTAGACTATTTCATTTTCTTTCTTTCTTTCTTTCTTTCTTTCTTTCTTTCTTTCGTAGTCGCTTTTCATCTATCTATCTATCTATCTATCTATCTATCTATCTATCTATCTATCTATCTATCTATCTAAGACTATTTCATTTTCTTCTTTCTTTCTTTTTTGTAGTCGCTTTACATATATCTTTTTATGTTGGACTATTTCTTTTTCTTTCTTTCTTTCTTTCTTTCTTTTGTAGTCGCTTTTCATCTATCTATCTATCTATCTATCTATCTATCTATCTATCTATCTATCTATCTATTTTAGACTATTTCATTTTCTTCCTTTTTTCTTTCTTTTGTAGTCGCTTTTCATCTATCTATCTATCTATCTATCTATCTATCTATCTATCTATCTATCTATCTAAGACTATTTCATTTTCTTCTTTCTTTCTTTTTTGTAGTAGCTTTTCATGTATCTTTCTATTTTAGACTATTTTTCTTTCTTTCTTTCTTTATCTATCTATCTATCTATCTATCTATCTATCTATCTATCTATCTATCTATCTATCTATCTAACGCAGGTTCAAAAGAGTTTATAGAAGTTTTAAGTATAAACTACAGCAGATCTGCAACGTGGAATAATAATGATAGTTTCAAGATTTCGACATGAAGTCAAAAGAATGAGATTTTCAGTAGAAAAGAAAATGTTCATTTGTTCTATTTTGAAGTCATTATTAAGTTAAGAGTACTTGCAATTACCAAGTGATCATCCCAAAGGTGAGCGGACAGGAGGAATGTTATTTAACTGCAATGATCAAGTAGCATTCAACATTTTTATCTTCGCAAATGGAAAAGCATTCGATTGACGGTACAATTATATGACATTCGCGCGGTATTTTTTAACGTTTGTATAAACAAAGTGTCTGCAAACTTGAACGTTTTTCCTTAATGCTGGTAAGCTGAAAAAAAGTATTTTCCTTTGTGAATCGTAATATACTGCAAAAAAAATAGATGTCTTTTTCCAACCTTGTTCATTACAGATAATCGAATGTATTTCATAGGGAGCGATTTCCCATTGGTATTATAGACAATGCTTAGATATCGAGGCAAAATCGTAAATTAGTCAAGTTGGGTAATAATTCTTATTAAATAGATGCACGCAAGTAGGATTTTCTGTTCATTATTAAGATAGAAATACAACCGAAGTCCTCTCTCTTGCACACACACACACACACACGCACACACACACACACACACACACACACACTTATGTATGTTCTATTTAACATAAGTCCGTATACATATGACAATAGTTGTAATAAAAACATATAACCCGAAATTTAGCCATGTATATTTATCATATAGATATAAGAATATCATGAAATTTTATCAAGTTTTTATTTCTTGAAAGAATATTGGCATCTATAATAAAATCGGACATAGTATATTTATCAAAGTATCTTTGCACGCAGACACACATATATATATATATATATATATATATATATATATATATATATATATGGTATAAATAAATATTTTATACCTGTATACATGGACGCACACACACACATACACACACATATATATATATACCTCTTTTTGGCAAATCACTAGATGCTCTAATAAACTCTGAATTGGTTAAGCCTCACACATTGCAGGCTGGTCTTCTTTCAGATAAGTAATATGGCTTTCGCTTGTCTAGGTCGACTGATGACGTGATCGATTATTGCTGAAGATAAGAATGGTGAAGCTCGGGCTGTTGTTTTGGATATCTCAAAGGCATTTGACAGGGTTTGGCATACTGGTTTTCTTCACAGGTAGAAAGGTTATGGTATTTCTGGACGACTTTTTGAACTGATTCACTTTTTCTTATCAAATCGTGAAATGAAAGTTGCTTGAATGGTCACTCTTTTATAACTAAGGACTCCACCCTTGGACCTACGTTGTTTCTAATTGTCATAAATGATCTTCATAATGTCATCAGTTCTCAGCTCGGTATCTATGCTGATGAAACAACTATTTACTCCTGTATTAATAGTAAGTCTGGTCGGTTTGATAAAGTCAAATTGGCAGCTGATCTAAAAAAATGACCTATAATTTCTTGTTAAATGGGGCAAGGATTGGCATGTTAAACAAGACTCATTTCTTTTAATCATCAGTGAACCATGTTTTAACTTTCATCAGCATGGCTGATGCTAATCTCCAGCAGAGTGACACTGGGACTAACGTTTTCAACTAATAGGAAGCGAAAAGAACCTGCCTACATTATTCAATTAACTGAAGTTGAAAGAGTATATTGAATCAATTGCTAAGTTTACACCTAAGAAAGGTGGTTCACTAGACAATTTCTCTCGCCAGAATCTATCTTACATATTTGATAGTCTGCTATTCGTCCTTGCTTAGAATATTGCAGCCACATCTAGCCTGGTACTTCTGCTATATATTTAGAGATTCTTCATAAAATCTAAAGAAGAATCTGCAATATTATTGGTACTGACATTGCATCTCGACTTCAGTAACTTTCCCACCACCGTAACGTAGCTTCCCCGTGCCTTTTCTAAAAATACTTTCATGTTAATTGTTCTGATAAACTTCCCTCTATAGTACCTAGAAGTTATGAATTTAAGCACAGTACTAGTTTGGCAACATAGTCTCATCAATTTACAGTTCAAGTGGCTAGATGTAATCGCAAGTTCTATGCTAACAGTTTCTTCTGTTGCACTTCTCGCTTGTGGAACTCACTTTCGATTTTTTGCTTTCCAGTCAACTTTGATCTTCTAAAATTTAAATGCAACGCTAAGTTTGCCGGAGACCCTACCAGGATTTATTATCGGTTGGCGCAATTGTAACAACATGAGACACGCAGATGACATTGGGTTGATTTAAGACACGGAATTAAAGATATAGGAACTTCTAGACAAGGTAGTAAAAGAAAGCGAGAAGAAAGGACATAAATTAAGGTTATAAGCAAAACCAAAAGCACAAGATACAAACTATGAATTGGAGAGGTCAATATAAAGAAGATGCAGAAATGAATATATAGGAAATGTGTTAAAAGAAAATGTGACAGCGAAATTAATTCGAACATTGAATAAAGAAAGATGCCTTTCAAAATCTAAGCAAAGTACTAAGAAGCGGGAAAATTTCGTTAGAAACAAAGAAAAGAATGTTGAACTGTTATATAATATCGATACTTCTGAATCGTAATCGATGCTGGAAAATCTCTTCGCAGATGAAGGGAAAGCCAGAGGCAACAGAAATGTGGTTATCTCAAAGAATGCTGGGAATACCATAGACAAATTACTTAAGCACAGAAAAAGTTTTAAGTAAAAAGGAAATAAAAAAGCCACTTAGAATCAGAAAGGGATAGAAATTTGGTTCTACAGTAGGATTCTGAGAATACCGTGGACAGAGCATGCAAGCAAAGAGGAAATCTTAAGGAAAATGGAAACAAAAGAGATACTTAGTATCAGAAAGAGACAGCTGAAATTTTGACATCTACTTGACGAGCCCTGCCGAGAGCTATAAGATATAGGAGGTTGTGGAGAACCATGATCACCTACGTCCTGAAATGACACGGCACATAGAAGATATCTTGTAAAGGTTTCAAGGCTCTAAATAGTGGGGAGTTCACCCAAGAGACGGAAATTAGAACGAGTTTTGATCGGCTACCTATTAAATATGCACATAGGATTTAACTCCAGGGCGGCGATGATACGGCAAGGTTGGACGGTGAGCTTCCTAAACTAAAGTCAACGGCCAGAGCAGATGGTTTCTCGTCGGAATATGGCCCACGTCTCCATGAGCTCACGGTCAAATCACGCTGAAACACCGGTTCTCGTTCGATCACCGAAGTTAAGCATCGTAGAGCCAGGTCAGTACTTAGATGGGGGGACCGCTTGGGAACACCTGGTACTGTAAGCCCCCAAAGTCCAACCCTTACCTCACAGTCGGTGGGGGTGTAAACGGTAGTGTCAGAGCTATGCCGCCCGGAACTTCGTTCCTGGTAGGGCCACCAAAGGCGGACAGGTCCACACACACGCGCGGCTAACAAGGGCTCTGGTGAAAATCCAAGGAGCGTCTGCATCGGTAACCAGCGGCTTCTGGTCGTTCCTGTCTCTCTGCGTCTGTGGGAACCCGCGGCAAGCAAGAACGTTATTCGAGTAGGCCTGGGTACCCTACTTCTGTAATTTATCCCAAGAATCTTCTTCTCATAACAGGAAGAAGCCGGCTCAATCCGCCCAGGGTGAATGCCACATCAGTACAGTACAGTAGTACACGTCTCCATGATGATAGCAAACCTTAACGTCGGAGGGCATCAGTTGCGACCTTAGCTAAAGTGGAATGGGTTTTCCGAGGTTTACCTGCACAGGGCACACGACGTATAAATGAATACCTCTCCTAGTTTCAATTCCAATATTAACATACAACCTAGACGTGTGGAGAGAGCAGGACAGGTGCTCAGCCTTGGAGTGACTCTACGACCACACCCGTTCAGGGGGATATGATGATGATATATTGAATATTTGCCAACATCTGTTGGTTTATATAAATTCCATTGTAAAAACATTAAGTTGTATAATGAAATTTGACAGTATATTCATAAAAATATCTTTTGGATTCATATATATTAAAATTGAAGTATAAAGATTTATAAAGAACGAGGCACGGTGGAGTAATGGATAGCGGCTCGGATTGAGGAATCGGAGAGCTGAGTTCGAATTCAAGTCAAATTCATTACATTCACTTACGTGAAAAGGGAAAAGTATGAATCCTCTTCTAGTCGAATTCACTTATGTGAAAAGGGAAAGGTATGAATTCTTTCCTTCTCCCTCAAGTTATGGGTAAATAGCATGACAGACTGGGTTCTATAGCCTTGGTTGGCAACTGGTGTACCACAGAAAGAAATGGCAACCTACTGTGGGAAAAAATCTGCCTCGTCAGACATGATCGCCTAAGCGTGTATCACGTATGGCACATAACTGACTGATAAAGATTTAATCAAAAACACATTGAAGAAGCCAACGTCATGCAGAAATGATTGGGAAACCTAGATCTAGATCGTTCTTTTTCAAGGAAAGCATTGCGCAGTGGTAAGACAGACTTTCCTGTTGAGTATGAAAGACTCAAGGGAGATTTTGGCAAGGGTCTTGATGTTAATCTCCCTTAGAGTGTTGGCAATGTCTGATCTAACGTGTAATGAATGTGGTTGCGTCTTTCTACGTAGAGCAGCACTTAGAAATCATCCAAGACGTCACATACAGAGAGAAGCCTTTCACAAGACGTGATAAGTCATTTCTACTTGCAGAAAGTGTAAACAAAATGCCCCAGTTGGTGGAATATGACATCATATGAAAGGAAATTTTAGATTTACTATATGATAAAAAAATTAACTAATATATAAAAAGCATGAACTATATATTTTACTATATGAATTTATTAAAAATATTAACTAAAATATAAATTTTATAACCATTTGTTGTTCCGGGATGAGGCGGTTATCAAATATTCAACGCGAGGTGATTGTTCTCTTTAAGAAAGAACATCCAACTTGGCGACTGAAAAAATGCCAAGAAATTTTGTCCTTTATTTTGAA